AAACCTGCACATTATGCACATGTACCCTAGAACTTACAGTATAATAAAAAAAAAAAAAAAATACAAATTAGCCAGGGTGGTGGCACATGCCTGTATCCCAGCTACTTGGGAGGCTGAGGCAGGAGAATCGCTTGAACCTGGGAGGTGGAGGTTGCGGTGAGCCGAGATCACGCCATTACACTCCAGCCTGGGCAACAAGAGCGAAACTCCGTCTCAAAAATAAATAAAATTAAATAAGTAAATAAACCAACCCAATTAAAGAACTATGTTTAAGAGTGTGTGTTTATGTCTGTGTATGTATTTGTGGGGATATGGGACAATTCACTTACTTCATATTTCTTTGGATTTAGCTTCTTGTTGGCTGGAGAGAAGTATATGGTAGGAAAACTGGGGAAAGAAACATTTATTAATTTGAAGCAGTTATGTGGGCTCATGTGCAGAACTCTTAAGCCAAGAAGGAATCAGTGGTTCTTCCTTCAACTGGAATATGAAGACTATGTCTAGTAATGATTTCCTGGTGGTTACAAGCTTTATTCCAATCAATTGCCTAGACACTTTTGTTAATTTTTAATCCACTTACCCTCTGACTTCATATGGAGAAGGCACATCATTGGCTGTGGCATCCATCTTGGCTATGACGATATTTGGGTCTTTGCTGAGCTGTTAATAAAACAGGTTAAATGTTTACATTTCAAATTTTCAGTGACAGAGGGACACTTAAGTCATTTCAAGACTTAAAACAATCTCATTCTTCAAATACTAAAAATACAAAAATTAGCTGGGTGTGGTGGTGCGCACCTGTAATTCCAGCAGATAAACTGCTGTTCAGGTGGGAAGAGTGCTTTGCAGATGGTAGTACCTCACTTTCCACAAGCTTCCCTTTTTTCTCTTGTATTAAGACTACATATTGCCACCTTCAAATTTACCTGGTCTAAATAAGACATTACAGGGGATAAGTCAAATGTTTTAAGATGAAGAACCATATGGATTCATGTAAGCCATTACCAAAATTCAGAAGTTCTTAGATATTTTGAACTATTATCTAGATTGAGCCTGAGGAATGGAATGTTAAAAGTGGGTATCTCAGGCACTGCACAGGCTGGAGCACTAGGGGGCAGTCAAGAGAAAGTGAGTAAACGGCAAGTAATTGGGAAAAAAATCTACAAGTACTTAGGAACCAAGCAAATGAGCCAATGCTGAATACATATATAAACTTTGCTCCTGCTCAAATGTTATCCTCAGAATAGGGTTCACACTTACCTTCTCTCCAAGTTCTTTATACTTGGGCTCCAGATTCTTACAGTGACCACACCAAGGAGCATAAAATTCAATCAGTACATCTTTATTTTCATTATTCACTATTTCATCAAAATTCTCTGCTACCACTACCTGGAAAACACAGAAGAATCTCTAGTTGGTAAGGTAACATAAAAAAATAAATTCACAAGCTGTATTTGTTCCTAGACCCAATCCCTCTCTAATTTGATGTGTTACCACAGAAAAAAAGTCATAGAAACCCAAATCACATTTACAGATTAAAGATGTTGTCATTCACTAGATACCAACTCGTTCCTTTGTCTGTCACCTGTCAAACTATGTTCAGGAAGTTACTGAACTTATATAGATATAGAAGTGCTACCCAACTGTTCCTTAAAATAATTTCAAGCCAGGCTTGGTGGCACATGCCTGCAGTCCAAGCTACTCAGAAGGCTGAGGCAACTGAGTAAGACCACATCTCTATAAAAAAATTCAAAGTAACACACTGTTCTTAGGGGTTGCTCTATCCTCAAGAGTAACTTAGCCCAATATAAATTTCATCAGAAAATTCTATGCAGGCTTTATACTCTTGCCCCTACCAAGCATTATGAGCCCTGCTAATGCTTTTTTTTTTTTTTTTTGAGATGGAGTTTCACTCTTGTCACCCAGGCTGGAGTGCAGTGGCATAATCTCGACTCACTGCAACCTCTGCTTCCCGGGTTCAAGCGATTCTCCTGCCTCAGCCTCCCGAGTAGCTGGGAACACAGGTGCCCACCACCACACTTGGCTGATTTTTTTGTATTTTTAGTAGAGATGGGGTTTCACCATGTTGGGCAGGCTGACCTCGAACTCTCAGCCTCATGATCTGCCTGCCTCGGCCTCCCAAAGTGCTGGGATTACAAGCATGAGCCACCACTTGGCCTGCCAATGCTTATTTTATGACTCAGGGAGTAAGGACAAAAAAAAAAAAAAAGAGATGGCCAACGAAGTCTTCATTTAGACCCCACAGTTTTGGAACAAAGAAACGAGGAGAGGCAATTGCTCATAGCTTGATGAGGCTGTCAGTACCTCACCTTTACAGGCCCATCATTGCTCTCTGGGATAGGTTCAGACTTCAGGTATCTCTTCAGATTGCCATCAAAGTAATCCTGCAGGAACCTCTCCAGAGCCTTCCCATCACGCCTACAATTGGAAAACAAGGGTAAGGCTTGTTAATCTGTTCCCACCACTGAGAAAATTATAGCAATTGCTTTGAACAGTTACTATGTATTTTAGCTTTTCAAGGCTAAAAAAAAGGGGAACTCTTATCTCTCAATATGCAGAACTACAGACTGAAGAAACAAACCATTCTTTTTATTTCTAGTGTGTTCTTTGTGGATTTCAAAGTTCAGAGAAAGAATCATTGGTCTGCTAGAGATTCATTTTTGTAAAAGAACCAGGTCTTATTGCTCTGGAGGATAGTGTGTGCTTACAGTATTTCATTTTATTGATTGTCTCACAAGGAATATTTTCTCTTGTCTCAATCTCCCAAAATCTCAGAAAGTGAGGGTAAAAATTGTCTCTGGGGTCTTAAGATCTTCCTGATTCTGAGTTTACTTTAGACTCATGTGGTATTTCAAAAAGAAAATACATTCTGTAGGGATGAGGGGGGAATGGTTTGGTTTGAAATTACATTAGTATCAACGAAGCTGTTCAATCTTTTTTTGGATTTTTCAATTTTTTAGAGACGGGGTCTGGCTATGTTGCCCAGGCTGGCCTCAAACTCATGGGCTCAAGTGATCTTCCTGCTTCAGCCTCCCAAAGTGCTGGGATTATAGGTGTGAGCAACCACATCTGGCCCAAAGGAGGTTGTCCAATCTTATCTTTTTTTATTTTTTTGAGACACAGTCTTGCTCTGTCACCCAGGCTGGAAAACAGTGGCGTGATCTCAGCTCACTGCAACCTCTGCCTCCCGGGTTCAAGTGATTCTGGTGCCTCAGCCTCCCTAGTAGCTGGAATTACAGGTGCACACCATCATACCCAGCTAATTTTTGTATTTTTAATAGAGACAGGGTTTCACCATGTGGGCCAGGCTGGTCTCGAACTCCTGACTTCAAGTGATCCACATACCTTGGCCTCCCAAAGTGCTGGGATTACAGGTGTGAGTCACTGTGCTCAGCCTTTATCTGCAATTAATAATGACCAAGTGGAATTATGTAAGAATTCCAACCTGCCATCCTTTCATTAGTTTTCAGAATTCATTAAGGATCATAATCCTTAAAGTATCTATATGTATTTATTTATTTTTATTTATTTTTTTTGAGACAGAGTTTCACTCTTGTTGCCCAGGCTGGAGTGCAATGGCACGATCTTGGCTCACTGAAACCTCCGCCTCCCAGGTTCAAGCGATCCTCCTGCCTCAGCCTCCCAAGTAGCTGGGATTACAGGCATGTACCACTGTGTCTGGCTAATTTTTGTATTTTTAGTAGAGACGGGGTTTCTCTATGTTGGTCAGGCTGGTCTCGAACTCCCGACCTTAGGTGATCTGCCGCCTTGGCCTCCCAAAGTGCTGGGATTACAGGTGTGAGCCACTGTGCCTGGCCTAAAGTATCTATATTTAAATTGAGAAAAACGACAGTCATAGGTCTTGATTAAAAGACCTATCTTCACATTCCAGGGTTACTGTTCTTTAGAAATCCTTTGTAGTATAAAAGGCTTTAATAAATGCCTTGGAGAATCAAAGCCCAACTAGCAACTCACGAGAACTCCTCCTGCATGACAAACTTCTCTCCTTTAGCAGTTCTGATAGCAACAACAGGAATCTCTCCAGCAGTGCTCTCCAAGCCAAAATCAGAAAGTTCATGGCTAAAGGTTTTGCGGCTAGCTACAGCAAAGTTGAGTTTGTGCCCAGCATCCAGAAATTTCTTTGCCACCATCATTACCCTGTGGGAAACAAGAGACATTTGTGACAAGACTATACAGGGTGGTCAAGCACTTTTGAAACTAAGCAGCAAGTGACTGGAGAGCAAAGACCAAGTTCTATAGTTCTAGCCTTCTGGAATCAGTCTGAACAGTCTGAGCTTCTGGGCCCTGACAGGGTTATGATATACTTCAATGCCTTACTGAACTTCACTGGCAAATTGGTGATGCCCAATCAACTGGTACATTCCTGCTAAATCTTGCTGTAATATACAACTGAAATCTGTTTTAGGCATAATGACTGATCTGAAAAGAAAATTTGTAAAGGTAAAATGCACTGAGACTCTAAATGTGCAAGTAAGCACAATGTTTACGTGCATTTTATATCAAATTTCCACCTTCTACTTAGAGTCACTGTGTCACAAAGCAAAGAAACACCTATGAAATACATGCCCAACAGATTTTGAAAACAGTTTATGTTATTTGTCCTATGGCTTCAAAGGTAGTTTTTGGAAGCCAAATGTTCCCATTCTTTCCTGCTCTTATACCACACATGGTGACAGGACAGTAATTTTAATTTTTTTTTTACAGCTTCTTAAGGAAACAACAAGATAGTTAGAAGGGACTGTTTATACATTGGGTAAATTTGTCCATGTGGGAAAAACATAATTCTTATTACCTGTTTCTCCAGTAGTTGGAACCTTTAGCATTCTTTTCATAGTCCACATCATAGTAAGCAATAAGTAAGTCCTTGCCCTGTATCAAATCTTTATTGTCTTCTGTCATGTGAGGGCAGATACCGAAACTGAAATGAAATAATCCATTATCAACTGGCTTGGCAAGTTTTTAGCTATATCATAAAGTTGCCACAAAGTAACTGATAGCATTTATGAAGGAAAGAGATTTTCAACATTTAGGACAAGTACTGAGCAATATATACCTTACAGGATGACAACAGGAGTTCTAACACCCATACATTACTGCTTTAATGTAAACTCAAACTATTATTATTACAATCCCCCCGAATAGACCGTTTAAGCCAAAATATAGCTCTGCTTAATAACTGAGGTAAACAAACTAAAATCAAGCAAATAAATCCCAGACAAGATACAAAGAAGTACTCACATGTTTTCCTGGATGAACTTTTTAATTTTGCCACTGGTCATTTTTTGCTCTGTGTATGCCACAGTTTTGTCCTCAAACTTGTTAGTCAGATGTGAAGGACGAAATAAGATGATACCCCTTAAAAAAAAAAAAGTCTCAGTAGGCAGATAGCAGAAGAACTGTCTCCCATCATTTTTTTTTTTTTTTTTTGAGATAGGGTTTCACTCTGTTGCTCAGACTGGAGTGCAGTGGTATGATCATAGCTCACTGTAGCCTTGAACTCCCAGGCTCAAGTGATTCTCCCACCTCAGCTGCCCAAATAGCTGAGAACACAGGTGTGCACCACCATGCATAACTAATTTTTTATTTTTTAAAATTTTTATAGAGATGGGGGTCTCACCATGTTACCAAGGCTGGTCTTGAACTCCTAGGCTCAAGTGATCCTCCCATCTCGGCCTCCAAAAATGCTGGGAGTACAGGTGGAGCCCCCATGTTTCATGTAATGCTCAGACTATCTACTTTTGCTGCCACTTTTAACCAGCAACATCTAAGCACACAAGGACTCTTTCTAGTACCACAGATTCAGCAACATGACATTCTCATTAACACTAAGATGCTAACCACCTTAATCTTAAGTGCAATAATTGGGTATAGGGTTTAATACATTTTGGGTAGGAAAATTAAGAGAACATGATTCTAATCATAGTTCCCCAACTAATTCCAAACACACTGGACCAGGTCTCAATTTAATCCTTCTGGTTTTCAGCTTTTTCATTATCTCAAAAGGGGGTTAAAGTAGATTTTCAAACCTTTAGAAACAATAGCAGGCTGGGTGTGATGGCTCACGCCTGTAATCCCAACACTTTGGGAGCCTGAGGCAGACAGATCACCAAAGGTCAGGAATTTGAGACCAGCCTGGCCAATATGATGAAACCCTGTCTCTACTAAAAACACAAAAATTAGCCAGGTGTGGTGGTGCACACCTGTAATCCCAGCTACTCAGGAGGCTGAGGCAGGAGAATCACTTGAACCCAGGAGGCAGAGGTTGTAGTGAGCCGAGATCATACCACTGCACTCCAGCCTGGGCAACAAGGGTGAGGCTCCGTCTGAAAAAAATAAAAACAAAAAACTCAAACTTACTCTAAATCTTCTCCTTTTCACACATGGTTAGTGACTATTGTTTACATTTTTTATACTCACTCCTTCCTATCCATTGCCACTAATGCTGTTGACTGAGTTTAGACTCTCACATGTCATCCTCAGTTTAGATCCTCCTTATAATCCTTAGAATTCTCCTTAGAATCCTTTGAATGCCTTTCACCACTCCCCCTTCAAACCATTATCATGTGGTTGCCAGTGACTTCTTCACAAATTTAACCCATTTATGTGGGAGGTTGTAAATTGTTTTTGTAAAAGATCAGACCTTGGCAATGACCTTGAGCAGGAGGCTACCACTCCCACAAGCTTAGTGTTCCAATAATAGAACACTAGGCATTACTCCCCAGCCCAGAGTCTTTCAATGGCTCTCAAATGTCTAAAAGATAAAATCTAAGCTCTTTTGTATGGCACTTAAAATTTATAATTTGGTCTCTGCTTAATACTCCAATCTTATCTTTCATTATCTCAATCACAAACAATACTCCAGCAGTACTACGGGCCCCAACATGCCTAGGCTATCTTACATTTCAAGGCCTTCACTCCTAGTGTTCTATCTGGAATAATTTTTATTTCAAAGGCCATAACCTTCCAGAAAAAACTTCATCCTTCAAAAGTCACCCCCCTATGAATTTTTCTGATATTACCCACCTACCCCAAAAGAAGAAAAACAATCACTCCCTCTTTTGTACTTCCAACCACTCTGTATATAGTTCTATATATACTTATACTTTTATTTTTACATATGTTCATGTATACAATCTCCCTTTACTAGATAGAGGGTTGTTCCTTGAAGGCAGCAATAGTTTCTGGCATGTAGCATAATGCCTCGAAAGTACTCAATAAACCCTTGGGAAAAATTAGGCATAAAAATGACCAATTCAGATGGGTGCGGTGGCTCATGCCTGCAATCTCAGCACTTTGGGAGGCAGAGGAATTTGAGACCAGCCTGGGCAATATGATGAAACCCTGTCTCTACTAAAAATACAAAAATTAGCCAGGTATGGTGGCACATGCCTGTAGTCCCAGCTACTCAGGAGGTTGAGGTGCGAGAATCGTTTGAACCTGGGAGGCGGAGGTTGCAGTGAGCAGAGATCACACCACTGCACTCCAGCCTGGGTGACAGAGTGAAACCCTGTCCCAATCAATCAATCAATCACACCAGTTCACACAATAATACTTCGTCCAGAGATTCAACTCAATCACTTACTCTCCATTATCATCATACTCGTTCACCAGAGACTTAACATTCGTATGTGCAAATCGGTAGTTATCCCTCAAGTTGCTGGCTGCTTTTAGGAACTCAGAGTGAGCTTCACTGAATAAATCATCGAAAAAACCTATACAGAAAATATTAAACACAAGGAAGAAGCAATAAGTGCTAACAGATAGATATTCCAAACCGTAAACGTCTATTTTTCAAGGGTTTCATTCTATTTTGAGGACTGGGTCTGCTTTGTCATGACTACCTCAGACAGGCACAATATTTAGGATGAGAATTTTCCCTCTACCCTTTATGGACACATTTCTTGAGAGAGCCAAGGGAGAAAATTTGTCAGTGTTCAAGTCTTCATTCTACTTCCCCATAATTGAACAAATTCGGCCAAACTGCTTAACTTAAGAGTTTCAGGTATCAGAAGGATACTGTAACTACTGACTGTAAACCACTTCACCCAATTTTTTTCTTTCTCTATATTTGTCTTTAGAACTACTCATTTAGAAAAGTGACTAAAACATAAATGTTTAATGAATACATGCTAACTCCTTGTAAAATAAAAAGAATCAGTAAAATTTAGATGATAAAAAGTGGCTTTTGGCCAAATTTAAACAGTAAACCATATTCTGCTGCCAGAAAGTCAGCATTTTTTGTTTGTTTTTTGTTTTGCGACAGAGTTTTGCTCTTGTTGCCCAGGCTGGAGTGCAATGGCGCGATCTTGGCTCACCCCAACCTCTGCCTCCTGGGTTCAAGCGATTCTCCTGCCTTAGCCTCCCGAGTAGCTGGGATTACAGGCATGTGCCACCATGCCCAACTAAGGTTTCTCCATGTTGGTCAGGCTGGTTTAGAACTCCTGACCTCAGGTGATTTGCCCGCTTCAGCCTCCCAAAGTGCTGGGATTACAGGCGTGAGCTTCCGCGCCCAGCAAAAGTCAGTTTTATTAATTAGGAGACCAAGAGAAGCACAAACATAGCTTTTACGTTTGTATTTATTTTTTAGTCAAATATATCATATATCACATTTAAAAAACGAAACAATGAACATCTAAGATGCAGAAAGTGTTTAACTTGCTCATGTCATTTAAAAATGAGATATTGCAACACATGAGAAAGCAATGAATGCTGCAAAAACAAGACAAATCCTAGCAATCTGATTTTAACTTTTAAGTTCCCTAATTATTGTGAAAATAGCAGAGTTTTACTATTTACTTGTATCTTCCGACCTTAAAACCTTATTTTCAGTCATATATGTACATAACTGTAGTAGATTACAGTAATTGCTAACCCAATTCTGTCAGTTGCCTTTTCAACTGCCCCAAGGTTTCCTTAACTGCTTTAATTCTGTGGCTTTCCCAGACATGGAGGGTTTTGGAAACCAAGTTGATGATTCTGTGGCATGGTTTAGTATTTGCTACTTACCTACTACAGATGCATCTTTATCACTAATGAATTTCTTAAATTCTTCCTCAGTCCTGAGAGGCACTGAAGCTGGTCCTGCCTGCTTCTTCAGGTGGCTGACAATTCCATCTTAGAAGTCAAAATAAAAGTTGTAACAACACAACTTATTTATAATTTTTGAGAAGGCAATTATTCATGATTCAAAATTCAGAAGGCACAAAAGGGTATATGACGAAATTTTCTTGCCACCCTTGTCCCTAGTCACCCAGTTTCCTCCTTATAAGATTTCAGTTACTTTTTTTTTTTTTTTGAGACGGAGTCTTACTCTGTCGCCCAGGCTGGAATGCAGTGGTGCAATCTCAGCTCACTGCAAGCTCTGCCTCCCATGTTCATGCCATTCTCCTGCCTCAGCCTCCCGAGTAGCTGGGACTACAGGCACCCATCACCACGTCCACCTAATTTTTTTTTTTTTTTGAGACGGGGTCTTGCTCTGTCGCCCAGGCTGGAGGGCAGTGGCCGGATCTCAGCTCACTGCAAGCTCCGCCTCCCGGGTTCACGCCATTCTCCTGTCTCAGCCTCCCGAGTAGCTGGGACTACAGGCGCCCGCCACCTCGCCCGGCTAGTTTTATGTATTTTTTAGTAGAGACAGGGTTTCACCGTGTTAGCTAGGATGGTCTTGATCTCCCGACCTCGTGATCCGCCTGTCTCGGCCTCCCAAAGTGCTGGGATTACAGGCTTGAGCCACCGCGCC